GTCTTCTTTTATTATTATTATTATTATTATTATTATTATTATTATTATTATTATTATTATTACATTATAGTGGTACCTAATGGTAGGATTTGTTGTTACATATTATTCATGTACACCATAGAACAATATAACTTGACTAAGTTATATTGTTTTTCTTTATGAACAATAAGGACCGGTGCTTCATGCTTACCTGCAACTATATGGGATGAAAAGGAAAGCAAATCTAAACAGATTTGGCCAAACACCTGTGCCTGGGTAAGAGAAGGGCTTGCTGCTTTCTAAGCAGCTGCTCTGGAACATTCCTATCGTCTCTCCTTCCCCACGCTTTGTCTAAAATTGGGATGACCACATATGTGATCCAGCTTGATTAGCAGCTTCCAAGATCTCCATTCTGGATAAATGGCTGTATGCTTCAGCTGAAGAGAGTTTCAAAGGCACCTGGGAATTTCAGCCTAAGTATGATACAGAGGTTTATTTCTCCCAAAGATCTGGGACACCAAACACAGGGGAGCCTTTGCCCAACACAGGCAACTGCACCGCTTCAGCAGGAATATGAGAGTAGCCTCTTGGAGCCAGCAAATCAGCTATTGCGCTAATTCCATTGGTTCATGGCACCAGCGGGAACACGTGTACAGCATTGCACAATGTCTCTCGACCTTCTGCACCACAGTGAAGTGGAGGGAAAGAAGGCCTAGAGCCAGACCACCTGGGTCAAACCCTGGCTCAGTTCTTTTCTGGCGGCCTGAGCCCACGCAAATCATTTCAACTCTCTGGCCTCCAGTTTCTTTATCTAAGAAATGGGGGTAAGAATGGTTATGGGGGATAAATGAGCTCAGTAATTCAAATAAATTCAACACAGTGCCACACACACAGAGCACACTCCATAAAGGCCAGCCGTTCTCTTCCTGTCCTTGCTGGGAGTCCCTGCTGTCAATTTGGTCTGCCTGGAAAAGTATCAGATTGGCCAACATTCTCCCTCTGCCTGATGAGCCAGGTCTAATGGGCTGCAGCTGATGTGTTGGAGGGTTCTTCAGTGTCACTTCTCAGGGGAAAAGTGAAACCGGCGTCATCATAGAGAAATACATCTAGAATAATCCACGCTCCAAATCAAGGCAGAGCAAGAGCAAGACCATCCTGGGGAAAGAAGTCCTCTTACCTTCTAACTCCTCCAACAATATTTAGTTCAGAGCTTCAACCTTCTTTATCAGCCCAAAGTTAAACCAAAAGAAAGGTCTTTAGGATGTGGTTTTCCTCCTGCACTCCCTCATCTCACCCTCTTTTGGAAATGCCTGTGCACAGGCCTTGACCAAAATAAAAGTGAAGAAGGATGGGTGAGGACAGCATGGCCCCGGTGGGAAGCCAATATCCAGCCTCAGGCATGAAAAGTTACACATTCTGCCATGGAAAACCCGAATCTCAGGAAAGACAGGCAAACGATTGCACTGGAGCCTTTATTAAACACCCCGAGGAAAGACAGTTTCATAGACTCCATGGTTAGAATTTGCTAGAATTTAAATTTATTTCTGATAAATTCTGTCGTCGTTAAATAACGACGACACGGAGGAAGTATGGCCTCCTTTTGTCTGGAACTCAGTCTTGTCTCATCTTTCTCCTGCTTGTCTCCTTTCCTGTCCTCCATAAAAAGCATCTAGTAGCTCACTGAAGACATTTTCTCTGGAGAAATACATGATCCTTATGGCAAAGTCCGCCCACATTTGGCACAGACGGGTTTGCTACTTTGAAGGGATCCACCCAGCACAACAATTAAGCCAATCAGGAATCCAATGAAAAATTTCAAATATCAAGGTCAGAAGTAATCTGGTCTCTTATTTTAAAAAAGCGATAATGAGCCTTTTTCTACTGAGAAGTCCACTTTACTTGCCTGAAAAGAGCTCTTTTCAAATCTGCTTCTTTAAAAATTTATAACCCTACCGAGTCCCTGCAAGGAAAAAAAAAAAAAAAAAAGTTCACTGTGCAGAGAAGGTGAAAAGGGAAAATTTCATATTTACATTTTTAAAAATTGGGGCGGTATTTTAAATCTTCACATTCCTTTTGATCCTATTATATGTTTAATGGCAGAAGCTCCCGGCCAGGGCTCGAGTGGGATGCGACACAAGTTTTAACATTCAAGGGAGCAGATGAAGTTGCCGCAGTCCCTGTGACTGAATGAGCAATCACCCAGCTCAGCCCTGCTCAGGGCAACAGGTCCCTTCGCCTCTACTGGATTTGGGACAAAGACCTAAACCTCATATCAGAAAATATCAGCCTCATTTTTTTTCTTGGCCATCAAGTGGTCAATGATAATGATAATCAAATCTGATCAGAGATACCCTCTCCTGGGCCCGGGAACCAATTGCCACATTCAAAAGCCAATTAGTTAAAAGGTGACTCTCTAGGCAAAGCCATGCCACACTCTCATGGAGCCTTCGAATCAGCATCGCCCCACAGGAACTAGCAAAATCAACTAGAAAGGATGTTGGTTCTTTTTTTCTCTCACCTTTTTTGATTTCTAGGTATTTATACAATCCATTGATTTCTTGATCCCATTTGGAAGCTCTGGAAAGGCTTCCTTGAAGCATTTTCTTCATTGCAGCTTGTCTCAGTTATAACGTTTGTATTAAAAATTAATGAGAAAAAAATGAATGAGGTTGCATGAGAGGAGGGGAGAGGGTGGGTCTGATACCGGGGAGGGGCTCCCATCTATTTTCCCATTCAACGCCGTTTCTAATGTGTGTCCTTGGCCTGGCATCTGGACTTGGTAAAGCATCCTACTCACTGAGGAATCGGAAGCAACCGTTTCTATATGATCATGCCTGAGGGCGAAGGGGAAGGAAAAAAATCCCAGACAGGAAACAGAGACCATGACAAAGACAACCACAAAGAATGTAAATAAAATACTATTACAAGCAGCTCACTCGCCACCTCACTGTCACGGCTCCCTCCCCGAGAAGCAAAAAGGAAAAACATACAGGTCTACAGATTCTGTGTTTTTAAGAAGAGTCCAGTGGCTGTTTGGAAGAAGCCATGAGTGTGAAGATTTTTCCCAGCGGGCTCACTTGGATAACCTCAAGCCTTGAGATGTATTTTTTTAAAAAAGAAACGGCTAGAGACTAGATCGGAAAGTGCCTCCCGACAGTGACTGGATCTTCGTGATAAGCCCTGTTTACCAGAGTTTTTGAAAAACCTAAAACCATGCTCTTTCCACATGGCACCCTGGAATAAAACAAACTCACTGCAAACGCAACTGCAAAAAACCCAGACTCAGGCCAAACGCACGTGTGCACATTTCACAGAAGAGCAGGGAAACATTTCAGTCAGGGAAAGATCTCCACGGGGGACTCCAGCCAGAGCTGGTGCCTGCCAAGAGTCACGTGCTCCAGAGCTGACAGGACTCTCTAAGTGAAACAAGGCAGTAGGAATCACTTCAAGAGATGAAAATCTACAAACTCTTCAGAGGCACAGATCAGCAGGCCATAAATACCACCTCCAGGAACTGTGACCACATCTCTGTAAGGACTTCCAAAAGCTACTCTCTGCTCTTGGATGGGAGTCACCACCTCCCATCAATCATTTTGCTTCTTTGAAATCAAAATCATGCCTTGTTCTAAAGGAGGAATTCAAATGCACCACTGACATCTGGTGCCGCTGCCAAAATACATTTACATCACCTTGTGCCAATTATAACTGGGCTCACTGCTGAGGTTCACCTAATAAGACAGGGGTGTCAGGAACCTGGTCACCTACCTCTTCATCTTCAAAGCCAGCAGCAGGTTTTCTTGCTTATTCTGTCTGAGACCCCAAGAAACTGGTCTTGGGGCTTTGCTAAAGTGAACACACTCCCCAAAAAATCATGGCCAGGGAGACTTGGAATGGAGCTGTGGGGCATCTGTTTCTGCTAAATGCAATGCCCTCTGCAGGTTAATCCTTGGTATGAGGACTAACAGGCAAAAGTTGGCCTGCCCAGCGTCTGAGGGACTGACTGTCTCTTTGAGGCTTGGAATGTTCATTGAGGAAACCGCCCAAGCCAGCCAGGACTCCTGGCCTCTCTGTCCTAAGTCTTCAGAGATGCTCAGCCTCCAGTGGTGCTATATTTTACCACTTAAACACTTCTTCAAAGTTTACTACAAAACAATATGGCTCTGAGCCTGCCAAAAGTTTAACTGCAGGATTCAGTGGAGAGTAGCTGTCTCCCCCCACCCCCACCCCCAGAGAATATCTGTGGGCAAAAGTCAGTCATCCAAGGCAGTCATCGAACTTTGCAGACAGGGCCATCCCAAGACCCAAAGTGTCACTGAAGGAGTATCACTGGGAAAAATGTCCCTCTTTCTGATTTGAACCCGCTCTTCAACTCCCTAGCTTCAGAAGAATGCAAATCACAGGCAGTATGGCATTTCAGGACCAAGCTATGAAAAACTTTTGATGGGATAACAGGGGACTTAACTATTCCTGCCTGAATTTAAACTTCTGACTTTCAAATATCTGGAGGAGCTTGGATTCAGGGAGAGATGAAGGAAGAGAGCCAATGAATAAGGGGAAAATAAAATAAGTAGCATACCATGACCAAGCCAAACCAAGCTTGACATATCCAAATTATATTGGCAAATGGATGCTTTCACAAATCATTTGTTCTGTCTTTCCTAGAGACAAAAAGGAAAAAAAAAATCTGGATTCAAATAATCCTAATCCCAGACCAATAAATTGTGTCAGTGGAATGCAATCTAAAATTGCTGCTCAGAAAACCCAACATTATTTATACCAACTCGCACACAAACACCCCCAAGCCAAAAGTTGTAACGCTCCAAGCAGTGTGGTCCTCGGTTTCATCACCCCCTTACCCTCGCAGGGTACCCGGCTCTGGGTGAAGCCAACAGCATCCAGTTCCCATGGATGCTTCCTACAGGGCAAATCCCCAGCAAGTGGGCAGCAGCACCACCAACTGGGTTCCTCCAGCCGGTCACCTCCTCCTCCAGGCTGGCCCCCGGCCTCCCGGGTCTCCTTACCTGCAGGCGCTCGGTGGCCGGCTGCCACATCTTCCAGCCGTGGGGTTTGACGGAGGAGAGGCTGGCGAGACTCTGTGGATCGCGCCGGGGGGTGAGGGGCTGCAGTCCCGCTTTCACATCTGGGGTCAGTGTCGGCGGGATGTGCGTCCTGGCACTGGCCACCGCTGCGGGGTGGGCGCAGAGGGCTGCGAGCTGGAGGAGGCGGCGCGGCGCTGTGCTGCCGGCAACTTGTGGGCTCGGCCGCGCGCCGGCTGTCCTGGCGCAGCTGCGAGAGGAGAGGATTGCG